TATATATATATATATATATATATATATATATATATATATATATATATATATATATTATATATATTTTTTTTTGTTGAATACACTTTATTCAAGAATGCAAGAAATAAAACATTTAAATGAGAAAAAATTAAATCCTAGACATTTCTATTTGTCACATTATGGTTTTTATAAATGATCATTTTATATGTATATAGAGAATATATATTTTTTCTGTATAGCCTCATGCTGAGATCACAGAGCTCGAGGCTGTGACCGTCTCGCCTCCAGTCTCCCACCAGCGGTATTTAAAACATTCTGGCGGCCGCTGATGGGTGGGGGGTGGGGACCCGACTATCACAGCATATGGAAGCAGGTAGCGCTGCTTTGTTCTCTGTGGCTGTGCCGGTGACGAGGGCGTTTTCCAGTCGCTCTGGCCGTCCTGGGCACGCCTGTGCATTCGGGGCATGCCTCTGTGCCTCTGCATGTTTCAGGGGCGAAATTGAGGGCTGGGGAATCGAAAGGGACGCTTCAAAGTGACGCTGACTTCAGGCATTTCATCGGGAAACATATTTCCCTCTGAAATCCAGCTGCATTTCTTAAATTACCTTGATGTAATTTATATATATATATTTAAAAATATTATATGTATTTTTTCCTGATCTATACCCCAGTGAATTTATGGTAACTTTGAATCCTAATCTTGTTTTCATTCTTTATCATGTAGAACATTTAAAATATTCCAAATTTTTAAATGCAATAATAAAGATAGCATTTTCAATTGGTCTTTCATCAGATGTGGAATAATGTGTTAAGTGTAAAAAAACTTTTCAAATTAGATTTTGCAAGCTTCCCTGCAGTTTTTTATAGCTATTTTTTTTAATGGAAAGCATTTTCTTAGCACTCAAATAAGCTTGCAGGCTATGAATTAAATTGGATCCTGCAGAGAGATAAGGATAATTCAACCCGAGATGCTAATCTGTGATTGGCCTGTCCACCGGGGCTGCTTTAAGTCATCATTCGTAGCTAATTGAAGGCACCTCATAGTTCATAGCTAGTCATAGACACATCATTGTTAGAAGCTAATTAAAGGCATGTCATCATTCGTAGCTATTCAAAAAAACATCAGTCATAGCTTATCAGAGGCATGTCTACAGAGGCGCAGGATTTCATTTTGATGTTTTTTTTTGTAAGACTCCCCTTGACCCTCACTCAGGTGTGTCTCGGGGCAAGGTCCGCGAGCCAAATTTCATGGTCTTGGGTACCTACATGCCTGGCAGGGGACTCAGAGACTGTATGTTGAGTGGCAAAGCGGCATGTTCTGTGTTAGCCGCTGTGCTAATCGTACACAGGCTGTATGGTTAGCGGCATAGTGATGTGCTCAGTGTTAGCCTCTGTGCTAATCGGCGTTAGCCTCTGTGCTAATCAGTGTTAGCCTCTGTGCTATTCGTAAACAGAGGCCGTACTGTTAATGGCTCAGCGTTGTGCTCTGTGTTAGGTTCTGTGTCAATTATACACAGGAGCTGTACAGTTAGCGACATAGTGATGTGCGCAGTGTTAGCCTCTGTGCTAACTATACACAGAGGACATAAGGATAGCAGTAGGGATGGAGAAAAAAATTTCAGTTACAAATCCTGATTCTGTGACGATTTTTATTTCTCCAAGAGAGTTAAAAATCAATTTCTTAATATTGATTTAAACAACTTGCTGTAATTATGTTGGTTACATTTGTTACTTCTAATAATGTGCAGCTGGCGTGATTTTATTAGGAGACAGACGCGTGCCAGCCTACCACGGCACTACGGTGGATGAGCAAGCCTGCAGAGACTTTTCCAGCGCTGTCTCAATTTAAATCCAAAGTCTGGGCAAACTCTGAATTCTATAAAGTAAACAGACACCTAGACATGAGCATGACTATCTGATGGGTTCACAGACTGGCGCAATTTTGATACAGCGGGGAAACAGGATTTCTTTTGGAATTGTGTATTATTAAAACTACAAACACAATATAGGAACAGCTGTAAACCAAACAAACAGCGAGACTGTCTATGTGTTTGAATAACAAAACCCCTAAGAGATGCTCATTTGCACAGTGAAAATAAAGTAAAATAAATAAAAATTCAAAAATAAGACTGCATCATGACAGTCATAATGAACTAAATCCCATGTTCTGCATTGCTAAGCATGGCCACATATATTTAGTTTACAGTTATTTCTCAGCCCGGTATAGAATTACAGAGAAAAACGGCGGAAATGCCGCCGGGAGATTAACCTGCAGAGGCTGCATCTGCCTTGCCGCG